TGCAATAAGGAAATACAAAAGGCTAAAAAAACAACATGTTGCCACCCACCATTTGATTAGGAGGATACTGGGAGTGTCAGGGAGGTTCCAGGGTATTCTCAAAAACAGATCAAGGTCATGGGTTTGGGAAGGTCTGGTTCTAGGAACCAGAAAGCAACTCAACTCTCACAGTAATTAAAAACTTATTTTTAAAAAATACTGCATAATAGTGGCTGCCATTAAAATGGTGTCATGTAGGTTCCTCCACAGAACAGAAGACAAGCTTAAACCACATCATTATTGTCCATTCATCAGCTGATGTGGCTTTAGGCTGATTCTGCACTCAGATGCTCTGAAGAGGGCAATGCTGAATAACAATGATCTGACATCTTTGCAGTAGAGAGGTCTCTACTCAGGAATAATGTAGATAGGCCATCTGACATTTCTATGTTAAACTTTTAGAGGAAATTCCTGATGTAATTTCATAGGGAATGCAACAGTTCACACTCTCACTAACCATGCATCATGGTTTCTTTTTCTCCATTGAATCATCAACATTTGGTGTCATCTGTTTCCTCAGTAAATGTCATTCTTACTGTGATAAGATGAAATCTGAATCTTTTTCCTAATTTGTATTTCTCTGATGCATGAAAATGTTGAAAACTGTAAAAACTATATATTCCATTTGTATAATAGTTGTGTTTCCATCACAGGAATAAACTATGAAGTTTCTCAGTGCACCCCTGCTGTCTGTATATAGAATAAATTCACCTTGGCCTTTCAAAGAATTAGGAGAGATCTCTGTAGGTTGTGTCAACAAATCAGGAAAGAACCTCATTTCTGTGTTTATACTGTTTCACACAATACCATGTTTGACATGTTCTCTCTGTCCTTTATGTATGTGACCATTAACAAAACTGTCAGCTCAGCATTGTCTGCTGGAGCACTTAGCAATGCTGCTAGTTCACTCTGAGGATCAGAGCCTCATGGAAGAGAAGCAGAGTGATGAAGGACACAGCGATTGAGTTTGGGATTGGAACCTGCCTGATCATTGTCTGCCCCTTTATAATGTACCATCAGTGAAATTCTGACAAGGTGTGGAAATTGGGAATGGATCCTTTCCCTGTCAGCTCCTCTGAGTTGTGTCAATGGTCTGCTTCTGCCATTGCCAATGCCACAAGGATAAGTTCTGTGTGACATAAGAAGCCTGCTGAGATAGATTTTAAAACCCCCTGCCTCAGTATAATGAGTTTGTGGTGGAAGTATTAGACCTATGAATGCCTAGAGCAAATGAAAGACACAATACTAAGTAATAGAGAAAGATTAAAAAATTATCAATTGTTTATTACACAATTGTGATATAATTTAACATCTTATTTTATTGTTTTTGACCAGAGACCCCACTCTGCTTATTTGTCACACTGAAACCAGTATAATAAAATGTCAGTAATTCAGAAGGATTAGCAAAGATCTATGAATGTTGAATCCAGATACATAATTGAAGAAATAGTTTTCAAAGGAGTGGCTTAGTGTTCTTTCATGCAAAATCTGGTGTGGGATACCCAATATTAAAAAATAATGATATATAAATTTTCTATTATATTATACTTCTCTAAACAACTCCTAAAAGTCTAAAGTTTTCTGTTTATATTTCCTGCTAGTCTGGAGTCAGCTGTGTTGGATATAGGACTCCTACACATCAGGTCACTCTTTTAAAACATTTTCAGAGTAGTAAAGGAACCATGTCTATGATTCTAAAAGGTGGAGAGGAATCTAGAGCCTCCACTCTGGGGACCAGCTCTGATGTCCTTCCATCTAACCATGCCTGTCCCCTCCATAGGACCTGACACTCTTATACTGAATGGGGGTGAGTCTCATCATGAAGAGCCTTGAAACTGCATCTCTTTGAGACCAGATTGTTAGTTCCTAGTTTTCCAGTTGAGGAATTCATTCTACAGTGAGATAAACTTCATTCATGGGGATTGAGAGGGCCTTTGAACTGGGTCATTTCTGTTATTGGAGCATTGCCAGGAGAGTGAAAAAGATTCTAGAAACTAACTGAACTTCTCCATGTCAGTCAGATCTTTTGTTTTTCTAGGTAATGGTTTCCTGAGCCTTATATGTGGTTAAATGAGAGGAATCCACTCTGAGTAGCGTCAGGAAACAACCTTGCTGGCCTTTACACCTGCTCCTTAGGCTCTATGTAACTAATTCATTTTGGTTTCAGTTTTTGTTGTCTCACAGCAAAGATATTTAGCAATGTTATTGATCATATAAACTTGATGTCATTTGATAATAATAATATTCAATATCAGACTGTGTCCCTAACTGTTTACTTTGACAGAACATGGTCTCCAATTGAAGAATCTCATTCCCATGTATGTATTCTTCTGAAATGTTTGTAGACATATTTTTACTTTTTTTTACAACCAATATTTCTTTCTTTTTTTAAATTTATTTATTTATTTTACAATACTATTCAGTTCTACATAATAGCCACAGATTCCCTTGTTTTCTCCTTTCCTGCCCCCCTCCCCTTCCCCCCAGCCCACCCCCCATTCACATCTCCTCCAGATCAAGGTCTCCCCCAGGACTGGGATCGACCTGATAGACTCAGTCCAGGCCGGTCCAGTCCCCTCCTCCCAGATTGAGCCAAGCATCCCTGCATAAGTCGCAGGATTCAAACAGCTAACTCATGCAACGAGCCCAGGACCTGGTACCACTGCCTAGATGCCTCCCAAACATATCAAGCCAATCGACTTTCTCAACTATTCAGAGGGCCTGATCCAGTTGGGGGCCCCTCATACTTTGGTTCATAGTTCATGTCTTTCCATTCATTTGGTTATTTGTCCCTGTGCTTTATCCAACCTTGGTTTCAACAATTCTCGCTCATATAAACCCTCTGCTTTCTCACTAATTAGACTCCCAGCACTCCACCAGGGGCCTAGCTGTGGATGTCTGCATCCAGATTCCTCAGTCCTTGGATGGGGTTTATGGCACAACTATTAGGGTGTTTGGCCATCCCATCACCAGAGTAGGTAAGTCCCTTCTGTCTCTCGACCATTGCCAGCAGTCTTTTGTGGGGGTATCTTTGTGGATTTCTGTGGGCCTCTTTAGCACTTTGTTTCTTCCTTTTCTCATGTGGTCTTCATTTACCATGGTCCTCTATTCCTTGTTCTCCCTCTCTTTTCTTGATCCAGCTAGGATCTCCAGCTCTCTTTCCCTCGACCCTTGCCCTTCATTGCTCCCACTCATGTCCAGGCTGTTCATGTACATATCATCCATTTCTCCGTGTCTTTCTTGGGGTCCCGTTTTCCAGGTAGCCTCACTGGTGATGTGAGTAGCAGTCCAGTCATCCTTGTTCCACA